TGTGATCAGCTGCTATAAAAGGAGACTAAGCGATTGCAGAAAAAAAACAGACTTCCATCAAATGCAAGATCTATCAAAATTACTTTCAGGCAGCCTTTACAGAAATAAATCATAATATGTGATAACTGAGAGAAAAAAAACTTGCATCCCTTTACATAGACTACTTAGAATTGTCATTTATTTTCTCCAAAGTGTTACCGTATCCACCCGAGCTCTTATTGTGCAGCCATCATCGAAGAGCCAGACCTGACTCTAACAATAGCGCTGCTGTTTGCACAAGCCAGACTTTTCTCATTCAGGTTGTTATTTGAGCGCTGACCTGATTCAGTCCTAGGACCAAGGTCATGTTTTATTCAGTGCAGGAAAATGGAAAATCTGGCAAGCACCAAGACCCTTGTGTTGAAACCGTTTTTATTTAGCTCACCGTGCAACAATAGAAAGAGATGAGGCTGATGAAAGAAAGTAAGGGAATTTCAATTCATTATTCATTGCTTGTTCAAGCTTTAATTATACAAAGGGTTATCATGTGATTCTAGCTTGTTTGAGAGACGTTTAGAAGGGCAACCTTGGTTTTTGAGTTAGTGAGATTATTTTCTTGTGTTCTAAGTAAAAGTAAGCCTGACTTTGCTTAAATTATACTCCAGGTAACAGTACTTGCCCATCTGTGGGCAAAAAAAACATTCCTCCCATCCATTCACGATTATTGAAGAAAGGAAAAAAAAAAACCTTTTCTTACCTTACTTTGCAGACGTCTCATTAATCTAACTCAGCCGGGGTCATGGACCCTGTTGGACAGCTCCTCATTTGACCACATATTTAGTTATGTATTTGAAAATTTTAGACACAAATCCAACACCTCCTGCGGTCAGGGACGCAGATCAGAAGAAGGCCAGTCGAACAATATGATGAAAGTAAAATGTTCAACACTTATCAAAGGTTGTGCGGCTCTAAAACGAAGCTGGGGAAGCTTGATATAAACTGTAGAGAACAAAAAACAAAGCGCACCAACCTTGCGCATTACCTCAGTAGGCAATTATTACATTTATTGATAAGAAATATATTCACAAGAGTAGCAGTATAAAAGGCATATAAAATCCAAAAACAAAACACTGGGTTAGGAGACACATGCAAATCCCATCCAGAAGGGAGATACTCTTGGTCAAGTTGACACGTTTCAAAGGGGGGGTCCCTTCTTTCTCGGAGCTCTGCGCAAGGCTGGTGCGCTTTGTTTTTTCTTCTCTACTACAGTTTGAAAATTTTAGGTTAGGATTATTTTTAAATTGATACAGCAGTTAGATACAGGCCGGTGGGGGATATTCTAGTGCGTGTGAGTGTGCTCCTTGGACGGAACTTCGCTTTAACTGCCTCTGTCACTTTACAACAATAGAAATAGGCTACCAGGAATAAAGTGCAGACCCCTAGAGGAGCCTGCATAATGTTACAGAAGGTTTTATTTCCCCCTACTCTGTTTTAATTCTGAGATATTCTGATGGTGCAAAAGTCCAATTCTTGCTAGCATTTGGAGCCAACTTATTCCTTCCTGCCCGTGTACATTTCTTTTAATGATGAGCTGCCTTGCTAGTCCATTGGAATTTTATGGCGGGTGGAAGGCGTTGGTGGGCAAGCTGAGACATTACCAGTATGTACCAACATTTTGCCTGCTCATAATAGTGGAGCGAAGACACAGAAATCTATTTGAAGACTAACACAAGTAATTTCAAGTGCCACAAGCTACCTGCAACCTTTTGGCCAAGGTCGGATATTCATTAGCTGCTTGCCCACCACCCTGTAGTAGAAGTACTGCTACAGGGCTGCGCAAAATCACGTGTGTATATATTCGTGACTTGCATTTCTGGATAGGGACATGCACACGCCGACCTACTAGCGCCACCATTGGCGACATGAGATGTCAATCACCAGGTCCCGGAAGGTGATTCCCCGCCGCCACTCGGTGATTGTCGGGGAAAGCTGACAGGGGAGAGACTTGTGTGTAAACAACACAGGTCTCTCACCTGTCAGCAAGGACATGATGCTTTGTATTTCTTTGCACAGCACAGAAATACAAAGCAGCATGTCTCTGTTGTAAAACAGCACACTGAGCACACAATTAACCCTTTGATCGCCCCAGATGTTGACCCCCTTCCTGCCCAGTGTCATTAGTACAGTGTCAGTGCTTTTTATTAGCACTGATCACTCTATTGGTGTCACTGGCAGTTAGTTCCCACCCAGTGTCAGAATGCTTGTCGCAGTCTCTCTATAAGTCGCTGATCGCCGCCATTACTAGTATAAAAAAAATTAAAATTGCAGTATAAATACTGCCATTTGTAGACGCTAAAATTTATGACAATTTGATGTTTATAATTTTTTATTGGATTTGTGAAAAAAAGACACAAATTTCATGTATGTACAGTGTTACATGACTACGCAGTTGTCAGTTAAAGTAACACAGCACCATATTGCAAAAAATGGCCTGGTCAGGAAGGGGGGAAAATCTTCTGGAGGGCAAGTGGTATAAAAAAATGCTAAGGTACATTTCATAGAATATCATTTGAGAAATTGTAATCAGAAGCACTTTTGATTGCGAATCCCTTTTTTTTTTTTTTCTTATTTATAACTACACCCATATATATGTATCTGTTCAGTTAGACTTGCTGTTCTATTGATGGTATTTTCTTTTTTAAAGCAGTATTAAATCCAAATATAAACATTTTTATTATATTGCAGCTTACCAATTTTTAGATGCAAATAGCTGCATTAGTTTTCTTTATTACGCTTTATCTCAAAAGGAAAAAAACTGCTGTAACTGCTTATAAAGTGTGAGCTGTAGTTCATTTTCAATTTGTTAGTGTATCTAAACCTGATCACCAGGTGAAAACACAGAGGAAACAGAAACTAAATGCAGCCACCACATATAATAATTGGTAAGCTGCAATATATGATGTTTTTGGGTTGGGGTTTAATACCGCTTTAAGCTCACAAAAAGAACCAAAAAAATCTGTCAGCTACTGCAGCAATATAATGATTTGTGATTGTGTTTTTTTTTTTCCCTGACTGACTTGCTAGTAAATAGGGATCTTGAGGACTCAGAAAATGTTCATGGGAGAGCAGTCTGCCAGTAACTTAGGATTTCAGTTTCTTGCAGAAGCGCGTAAAGTCAAGCGCATAGGCATACAGTGTAAAAAATAGTCTGTTGTTGCACTCAGGAGCTACAGCTAAAGCATATTTTAGCTGCCTTTGCCATTTGTGCATGGTCGGTGCTCTTTTTAGGAAAAAAAATGTGCATCCAATATTTTTTGTTGATTCAGCAGTTCCAGCTTGTGATGATCAGGCCAAGCCAATTGTGCATTTTAAGACGACAGCGAGAATTTTAAATTACATATTGGATGTTTATCACTTCTTCAGTTAAACTCCTGCAGGGAGAGGTTTAATCGCTGTAAAACTACCAATGCCAATTAAAAATTTCAGCAGCCAAGCATTGAAGTCGATAAGCCATGGGCAATTCTAGGTAACTTAATTTCAACTGTAGAAAAAGTCACCATATCTCTACAAAAGTGTAACTTTTGCCACATGTCGTCTTGCTTAAGGTTTGAAAGCTAGCTACAGGGGGATGCCATGCCTTTCACTTGTGTCCAGGAAAGGCAGCTATATACTGTACAGCTGGTTTTTGAAAGATCTTTGACATCACTTTCAGTAACATGGAAATTGAGAGATTAACAGCTGAGTGGTAACAAATTTTGAGCATCAGAAGTGCTTGTTGTTGCCCGCAGAGATTTTCCAGCCTATCCACCAGATATTAAAATGAACTATCTCACACACAAGAATGATGCATTCAAATGTGAAGTGATTCTAAAGGTAAAATTTTTTTACTTTTTAAAAGAATATATATTACTTGCCTGCTCTGTGCAATGGTTGTGCACAGAGCAACCCCGATTCCCCTCTACTCTGGTCCTATGCCAGCGCTCTGAGCTACACTCCCTCCAATTCCCCCGCCGAGTTCCCCCAGAGAAAGCCGCTTGCTCTGAGGGCACTTGTGTGTGCTTGCTCCTGAGTCCTGCTCTGTGTATCCATAAGACACACAGTATGGGGCTTGGCCCCGTCCCCACTACTTGTCGGTGGCTCTGGTTGTATTTAAAGGGGGGCTGTGGGGAAACCTGCCCGCCAGTGCTCCTGGACCCTCCCTTTTCTGAGTGCCCCCGTATCAAGCCACTTGCTATGGGGGCACTCGTGTATGTGTGCTCGCTCTCTCTGTGTGTTAGTGGACACAGAGCCGGCTCCCCCCACCCCCTGCTCCCTCCTCACTGGCTGTGATTGACAGCAGCTGGAGCCAGTTGCTCCCACAGCTTTATCTGAGCCAGCAAGAAGGGTGAGAGCTGCTGCTCTCGTGCACCTCACTGGATTGAGATCAGCCTCAGGTGAATATAAAGGGAGAACTGCATGCAGAATGTTTACCTAAATGCATAGAATGCATTAAGTTGGAAAAAAAAAAAACCTTTAACTTAATTTTAAAGTCTGACAAAGTACTCAAGGAGTCTTGATGGCACATGGTTGAGGACCATGACTTCAAGACCTGTCTTCCCACTGGCCACTCTACATAGCCAACACAAAACTCCTGCAGTGATATCTCATTGAGTTAAGCAGCCCTTAGATTAGTCAGTTTTTTTTCATTCAATCAGTGGGTTGAATGCAAAAAAAACTCACTCTATTCCCCCATCCACAAAATCTATGTGGGTGGGGGAATCCTGCCCGCTGAGTTATTGTGTTCTGACAGTGGAGAGGCTATAGCTTGCAGTGCTGATCAAGTGTGCAAAATCCAACAGGGGCATTATACAGACGTTAATGGGCTTTGTTGAAATTAACAGCTGTACCTTATGCTTGCTAGACAGTTCATATGATCAGCCAAGGGCAGTGCAGCACTATGCTGCAGAATTACTGGACATCTGGTAAATGGCCTATTTCTTGTTAGATTACGATTTGAAAATGTACTTAAAAAATATATTTGCTTACCACTGTGTATTTGCATCTGCAGGAGTTGCTGGGTGTGTTTTGCAACAGATGAAGATGACCGGACAGCTGAATGGGTGAGACCATGCCGCTGCAGAGGCTCCACCAAATGGGTCCATCAGTCCTGTCTCCAAAGATGGGTGGATGAGAAGCAAAGGGGAAACAGTACAGCTCGCGTGGCATGTCCACAGTGCAACGCTGAATATTTGATAGAATTCCCAAACCTAGGTAAGTGTCTAATAGTTTAGTGTAAATGCAGTGAAGCTGTCTTTACATATTAGATCAGGGGTCTCCAAACTTTTCAAACAAAGGGACAGTTTACTGTCCTTCAGACTTTAGGAGGGCTGGATTGTGGTCAGTGAGAGTAAAAAATGTCCTGGGCACAGTGTCCTTGAGAATAAACATGGCCTCAGGGTTGGTGGTCAGTAGGAGGAGTAGTACCCCAGCATTGGTATTAGTGGGAGGAATAGTACACCATTATTGGTATCATTGGAAGAAATAGTGCCCCACTGCTGTTGTCAGGAGGAATAGTGCCTCATATCATTGAGAGGAATTGTACCCTAAGAGCCTGATAAAGGCTAGCAAAGGCCTGCATTTGGCCCACGGGCCAGATTTTGGTGACCCCTGTATTATTTTTATTTATTTATTTCAGGTACTTATATAGCGTCGTCAATTTACGCAGCGCTTTACATATATATATTGTACATTCACATCAGTCCCTAACCCTCAAGGGGCGTACAATCTAAGGTCCTTAACTTGCATTCATACATACACATACTAGGGCCAATTTAGACAGGAGCTAATTAACCTACCAGCATGTCTTTGGAGTGTGGGAGGATACCTGAGTACCCGGAGGAAACCCACGCAAGCACAGGGAGAACATGCAAACTCCAGGCAGGTGGTGCCATGGTTGGAATTCGAACCAGCTACCCTAGTACTGCCAGGCGGAAATGCTAACCATTTAGCCACCTGTATTAGATGATAGTTGCACCCCCCAATTTTCACATCACATTGTACCCTCCAGCAGAGCATATAAATAGGGTGGCAATAACACTGTAATACAGTCAGGTCCATAAATATTGGGACATCGACACAATTCTAACATTTTTGGCTCTATACACCACCACAATGGATTTGAAATGAAATGAACAAGATGTGCTTTAACTGCAGACTGTCAGCTTTAATTTCAGGGTATTTACATCCAAATCAGGTGAACGGTGTAGGAATTACAACAGTTTGCATATGTGCCTCCCACTTGTTAAGGGACCAAAAGTAATGGGACAGAATAATAATCATAAATCAAACTTTCACTTTTTAATACTTGGTTGCAAATCCTTTGCAGTCAATTACAGCCTGAAGTCTGGAATGCATAGACATCACCAGAAGCTGGGTTTCATCCCTGGTGATGCTCTGCCAGGCTTCTACTGCAACTGTCTTCAGTTCCTGCTTGTTCTTGGAGCATTTTTCCTTCAGTTTTGTCTTCAGGAAGTGAAATGCATGCTCAATCGGGTTCAGGTCAGGTGATTGACTTGGCCATTGCATAACATTCCACTTCTTTCCCTTAGAAAACTCTTTGGTTGCTTTTGCAGTATGCTTTGGGTCATTGTCCATCTGCACTGTGAAGTGGCGTCCAATGAGTTGTGAAGCATTTGGCTGAATATGAGCAGATAATATTGCCTGAAAGTGACTGGAGAGAAGCGCCTTAGTACTAAACAATTGTAAAGCTGCTATGCACGAATGAGGTACCAATAACCCCTAGAAGACCTTACTAAACATAAAATAAAGTGCAGCGCTAAACTCATTATAGATAATTCATGTATTCAATCAGTTTCGATCAATAAAAAGTCCTCCTTTAGGTGACAGAGATTAGGTGCTCCAAGTATGCAGGTGACTTAGGTATTCAGGTGACTTGTTTCAGGTATCCGTGCACTGAAAGTGATAAAGCAATGCGCACTCACCACCCGCATAAAATATGCGCCTTAAGTGTGAATAAATGATCCAGATGTCATTCCGATACTGGGTGGTCATCATCATCATAGAGAGCACAGAGAGAAACACACATGTGAAGGAACAGGCTGCACTCTAATTTGCAGACCTGCTCCTGGATACACTGCCGGAGGGACCCAGACCAGATCCTTTAACGTCCAACACCAGGGGGACCCCTAAGTGGAGAGGATCATCAGCCTCATGCTGAGGGAGGACCACCCAGTATCGGATGACATCTGGATCATTTTTACACAGGCGCATATTTTATGCGGGTCTGGTGAGTGCGCATTGCTTTATCACTTTCGTGCACGGATACCTGAACCAAGTCACCTGAATACCTAAGTCACCTGCATACTTGAGCACCTAATCTCTGTCACCTAATTGAGGAGGACTTTTTATTGATCGAACTGATTGAATACATGTCATTATCTATATATGTTTAGCGCTGCACTTTATTTTATGTTTAGATAATATTGCCTGAAAACACTTCAGAATTCTTGCTGCTTCTTTCATTAGTCACATCATCAATAAATACAAGAGAACCAGTTCCATTGGCAGCCATACATGCCCACGCCATGACACTACCATCACCATGCTTCACTGATGAGGTGGTATGCTTAGGATCATGAGCAGTTCCTTTCCTTCTCCATACTCTTCTCTTCCCATCACTCTGGTACAAGTTGATCTTGGTCTCATCTGTCCATAGGATGTTGTTCCAGAACTGTGAAGGCTTTTTTAGATGTCGTTTGGCAAACTCTAATCTGGACTTCCTGTTTTTGAGGCTCACCAATGGTTTCCATCTTGTGGTGAACCCTCTGTATTCACTCTGGTGAAGTCTTCTCTTGATTGTTGACTTTGACACACATACACCTACCTCCTGGAGAGTGTTCTTGATCTGGCCAACTGTTGTGAAGGGTGTTTTCTTCACCAGGGAAAGAATTCTTCGATCATCCACCACAGTTTTCTGTGGTCTTCCGTGTCTTTCGGTGTTGCTGAGCTCACCGGTGCATTCCTTCTTTTTAAGAATGTTCCAAACAGTTGTTTTGGCCACGCCTAATGTTTTTGCTATCTCTCTGATGGGTTTGTTTTGTTTTTTCAGCCTAATGATGGCTTGCTTCACTGATAGTGACAGCTCGTTGGATCTCATCTTGAGAGTTGACAGCAACAGATTCCAAATGCAAATAACACACTTGAAATGAACTCTGGACCTTTTATCTGCTCATTGTAATTGGGATAATAAGGGAATAACATACACCTGGCCATGGAACAGCTGAGAAGCCAATTGTCACATTACTTTTGGTCCCTTAACAAGTGGGAGGCACATATGCAAACTGTTGTAATTCCTACATCGTTCACCTGATTTGGATGTAAATACCCTCAAATTAAAGCTGACAGTCTGCAGTTAAAGCACATCTTGTTTCTTTCATTTCAAATCCATTGTGGTGGAGTATAGAGAATGTTAGAATTGTGTCGATGTCCCAATATTTATGGACCTGACTGTATAATTAGAAGTTAAAAAATATTTTTTCTAGATAAGGTCTGTGAAATACTACATATAATACCGTATTTTCCGGCGTATAAGACGCTGGGCGTATAAGACGACCCCCTACTTTTCCTGTTAAAATATAGGGTTTGGGCTATACTCTCCGTATAAGACTACCCCTCTACCAACCAATCACGGCAAGCGATGTACCAGTATTTTCTGTGCACACTGCATACAAAGCCTGCTTGGATTGGGTGGGTCAGCTCTCCCTGCCTGCCCAGCCCTCCCTGTCTCCAAGATGATCTGAGAACTGCCACAGTTATTAATATATAATAATTAATGTTAAGGTTAATTACCGTATTTCATAAAGGGATCAATTACACAAGGTACTGCCTAGCTGACGCTTCTGCGCATGTCTTCGGCAGCAGTAGACGATCGCTGATCACCATTCCTCGCAGAACTGCATGAGACGTCGGATGCAGCAGTGCTCGATTGAGCTTGACTGAAACTGTGATATGCAGAGAAGGGATACACATCGGGTAGCGGCAAGAAGACGTTTCTGCGCATGTCACAGTTTCAGTCAAGCTCAATCGAGCACTGAACGGCTGTATCCGACGTCTCATGCAGTTCTGCGAGGAATGGTGATCAGCGATCGTCTACTGCTGCCGAAGACATGCGCAGAAGCGTCAGCTCGGAAGTACAGGTATAGTTTCAGCACAACACCCGGCGTATAAGACGACCCCCGACTTTGGAGAAGATTTCCAGGGGGTAAAAAGTCGTCTTATACGCCGGAAAATACGGTAGTTCATGTTTACCATTGTAGCAAGCAGATTTCAGTGCAACAGATAAGTACTTGCATGGGGAAATGTGTATGTGTTGCAGAGCTTTACTGATTTTGTTTTCTTGTTTTGTGTTACAATTTAAAATGCTATAACTACCCAAGATGCACTGGTTATATAATAGTGGTGAGTATAATTTGTGACTTTAGCTCTGCATAAACTGCTGGACTTTATACTCTCAAACCCCACCCATTGTACTATGACAGACTGCTGGGGCATGGAAAAACAGAGTCTTCTGACCTCATATACTAGTTCCCTAGCAATTTCTTCCTCTGTAATCTATTTACACCCAATACACATATTGATGCCTATTGTAGTGCTTTTGGTGACTCACAGTCTTTGGTTTGAATAAATAGATAAAAGCACACTAGACTACAGGACATAAGTGTTGAGCCAGCCACCCATGAAATAATGGAATTTCTGCTTGAAGTACATTTTTTAAGAAGAATAATTTTGTATGTTTAGTGCAGGACAATAATCAGGCTGCAAGTCAAACCCATAGTTCTTAAGTCAATGTTGAGGCTATATAGAGCTAATGGCAAAAAGTACATAAAGACAAAATTCACCTCTGACCAGAGGTCCCCTTTTTTTGGGAGCACCAGCTTACACAAGGCAGGTGTTATGGATTCACTTTTTCCATTCCCTAAAAGGCTTGCCAGCATCAAACATCCCAGAATTTGAAGCATAAACACGATAAAAGGTTATGTCTACCTTTTGCAGAAAATAAAAAAAATTAATTCACTTTTGCAGGATAAAAAAAGTAATTTTTTTTTTAAAATTGCATATAAACCTGCAAAGCATCGCAATTGCAATGAGTCAGTCATGATGTAATGTACAAGCTCCTACAGACAATTCTTTCAGCTCTTTTTCCATACAGAGTCATGGACTTTTGGTTATAGAGCAAGCTGAAGGAAGTGTTA